GTAAAGTGCGCGAAAAACAATAAAAATTCAAAAAACTCTTTCAGTCGTATAAGACGACGATTCTGTATTCCTCTAAATTACTTTTTTTTTAATTCCAAAAAGTCTAATAATTACATTTTAATAAGCGTCCATATTTCTTTCTGAGGCCTACGAAAAAATTGTGTCTAGGGCCTACGTCAAGCTTAATCCGGTCCTGGGAATATTCTATTAGTATGTATTCTAACACTTAAACAAGGATTTATTTAACCATGAATCTGACGAAAATCAGCTGTTTACGATTTTATCCAATCGGGAGCTTGAACGTTCTCATAATGACGTCACTGTAAAAACATATAAGCTCCAGATTGGATGAAACCGCATCAGTTCATTTACGTTAAGTGCACGACAAAATAAATCGTACTGTATAAACTGCAAACTGCACGTGACGTCATTCGGCGCGCGGGGTCAGGCCAGATATTATATAAGGGGGTCAGGCAATCACGTGTGCAGCGCGCGAAGAAAGAGGCGTTCCATGACCTCTTGCCTTGCGGCTTATCTGGCGATAACCTTGCTCTGAATACAAAAACGTTCAACACACGATGTCACCACATCTAGTAAACGTGCTTATGCAACTCTGCGAAATTTTGTGTTATTAAAACACAATTGAGATACTATGCCCATGCACTCCAAACGGTGTGGTGTCCAGCTTAATTTGGTGTGAAAGGGAGGCCAAGATTCTTAATTTAAAGGGACCAGGTGTGTCAATAGAGATGTTCTTTATTGTTATGGAGGATAAGTAAGGAACATCGCCGGTCGATAGCTTGATATTGGGGTATAAAGTAATTATTTTTTTTTAAACTAGTGTAAAATTGTATTAGCTAGCTCTTTTGTAGGTTGTTGTCGCATGTTGAGATTGAGAGTTAAGTGAAAGGAGAGCAACATCGTCTGCGAAGAGAAAATCTTTAATGCCGTGACAAACTGGAAGCTGTTTCGGTATATGGAAAAATATAGGGGTAAAGGACTGCGCCTTGCGGAACTCCTGCGGTAAATAGATAGGATGAATAGGAGATGTATTTTTAAAGGTTCTGTGAGATAGGTAGTTAGATAATAGGTCAAAAGCAAAAGGAGGTAGACATGATTTTCATTTGAAAAGTAGGATATTGAGGTCAGTGGTGCTGAAAGCGAAAAATAGGCCAGTTAAAAGAGCTGGTGCATGTCGATTTTTCGAAGTCCTCTGGCAAAATCTACTGCGAAAAAAGTGTTTTTTTAAGAGATAAAGATGTCGGTAGCAGCTGCGACAGGCAGGTTCAAGGGACACTGCCCTCCCAAATAATATACATCCATCTTCCCTTTTATTTTGTATATTATTTAATGTTGAAGTAGTTGTTCGCCACGTATTCTCCGATTTCTTAATTCAAAAAGCCCGATATTTCATGTCCTTCATTGCGGGATGGATGATCGAGGTCTGTATGCTGAATGGCGTAACGTTCGGGTCCAGGTAAAAGGGAGCCTAGTTTTAGGGGATATTTTTATTATTTAAGGTACTAACACTACTTGTGTTTGCTCTACACTTTTATAAAGGGGGCCCGTTTAGCGAGCGGGCCCGCACTCTACGTTGCGCTACTTTGTGGGCTATTACGGTGTAGCCAAATTTGGTATTGTCATAAGCTCAATGCTTTGGAGTTGTGAAAATTGCAACACGGGACTTGTGAATGGCAGCTGTCTGCGAACGCAGCCCGGGTGAGGTGACTTTGGTATTACTCGCGCAAGATTTTTTGATACACGAGATTCCTAGTCCTTCCGAGCGCTGAATAACGCGGCTCGTTGAAATAGCGTCCACTCGGCACGGCACGTACCAATTTACAATGCGGCCAACATCCACTTCGTACCTTCAAAATAATCTCGTAATTCTCGTGGTACGCTTCGGCGCGAGAAGTTCACGCTCACAGTTGGTACGCCCTTTTAAGCCGTGACGTAGCCCTCCTCCCCCCGTACTCCCCGTTGCGTAATATCAAGAAAACTTGTGTGTATACAACTTGGGAAATGTTTTCTTGCAGGATGTCCAGCGCTACCTATTGACGAGTTTCTGAACTCCTTCTCCAAATACGTCTCCTCGTATTTGCGCACAGGGTGCACATGTGTATAAAACCTATTCTGTGATGGAAGAATGTTTCTTCCATGACCAATTATAGTTCGGTTTTGTAACGTGGCGCGTCTATCTTGGTCGTACTGCTAGATGTCAAGTGATCACGAACGTATCAAGAAAGTGCAATGTGTCTAGCGGCACGACTGAGAAAAACGCGAAATGCCGTGAGATATTCCATCGTGGAGACAGGCCCCGGCGCGCCACGTTACAAAACCGAAGTATAGAGCATGGTGGAAATTTTCACCATGGTCTAGAAGAGTAACTCTAAGAAGGGACCACTTTGACAGGTGGGGAAACAAATGAATGTCATGCAGGGCGATGCCATTCAAAGAGATAGTGATTAAGGCAGTTACAAATGAGCTAACTGTAAATAAACGCACTGACAAAATGAGTCCGTGGACATAATGTGCAGTTATGTTGGCAGCAATGGCCAAGCAGTAGTTGTCAAAGCGAGCCTTTCTTATGGTAATATCTCGACACAAGAAATAAGTAACGTGGTGGAAAGATGTGGGTGAGCTAGTCCGGCGCACCGATTTTTGCTCTCTGCGCAGCACCAGTTTACGTCACGAACCACATGACCACAACTCGGATACTTCGCGTTTGAAAAGCCGAACCTGACGCTGGCCGCCATATTGCATGGAGAGCGAGTAGTGTTGGGAAACATTATGAAAGTGTAAGAATGTGTCAATTTTCAACGGTGACCAACGAAAAATAACACTATGAAGGCATACAAGATGCAATATTTAAAAGAAATGCGTCATGTATCTGTTTCAATGACTTGCAACAGGGTGATAACTTTGGAATATGGCTGGGTTTAAAATTCTCGCTAATTTGTGACGCAAACAGGTATTACTCGAGCAACTTTTCTTGAACGATGACCTTGCTTCCCCCTCGCTGACTCAATAAACAGTTGAAGACAAAGCCTCGAAGCGTGCACTGATGACAACATTCAAAACATCTTCACTGGCACGAAATAGAAACTATTTTCCGTAATGACGAGAACTTCTGCCGTGATTTTTTCCAAATAAAACTAAAGAAATGACCGAAGCAGGTGAAGATCCATCACAGGAGATAACTCGAACTCCTAGAACCTAGTTAGAACGCAAATTATTGAGAAAATTGCGAAGGCATGACTGATTCTCCAGAGATTGGCATTGCTTCATAAAATATAATGGCCGATTCCGTAACTAATACCCCAACTCTACCGCATATCTTCAATCCATCGTTCAAGGAAAGTTGCGCGAGTAATACCTGAAGCACATTAGCTGAAGTCGGATAAGATGCGCAGTAGCTCACCCATGCATTTCCATCGCGGCATTTGTTTCATGGCCATGATATATTAGCTTTAAACTACGCTTTCTTATTAAATAAAAAAAAAAAACATTTCTTGGTCTACTTATAATATTACGTGCTGAACTCCGGAAATAAAAGCCTAAATCTTAAACTTCCCTGTTGTTGTCTTTAAGACGCCGGACACCTTAGCACTTGGACTTATATTAAAACTCGCAAGAACTCAAGGAGGGCTCAAGGTTCCTTTCGCCTCCCTCAAGATAACGTCTACTGCCGCCATTTTGGGAACATCTGCGTTGTTTCCAATGACTGTGGTGAAGAAAGAGAGTGCTGACGCTGTGGACGCGAAAGGCTGCAGCGAGGGAAACTTCGAACCACTACATTGCCTTGAGATGCATGTGAACATTCGGCTTTTAGGCACCCTCGGCCTGTCGCTGGCTGCTGATACAAAGGTAAAACCGCAATATTTTCAATACCTTTACACCGATATTGAAACATATATCCGGGAGGGGTAAGAGTGAGTCATGGGGCTGGTCATGGAGTTATGAATACATGGAGGTGGCATTACCAACCTCTGACATGTTCCGCTAGTGAGGTCAACTTAACACTGCTGACATTCTGAAGGAGCATGTCACGCTTAAATTATTATGAACTATTCTTAGAATTAGAGTTGCCACAATATTCCAAGTCTGACAACCATGCTAACTGTATGATTAAAAAAAAAACATAGTCTTACTGTACTGTTACTTTAAACTTCACCATTTCCTTATATAAACATTAAGTACTCTCATCTGAAGGCGAAATAACAGGATTTTAAGGTGTAACTTTTGTAGATGGACCAGAAATACAATTGATGCCAAAATTGTAAAAACTTTCGGGTTCCTTTGTAGAAGACCTCGAAAATAATGATAGTTGTCAATTTGAAGATATCTAGTGATATTATTAATTATTCCTGCACAATTTATTTCTCTTAAGTGTGGTAGAAAATCCACTAAATTGTTGGAACAGCGAGTTTCCACAAACGTACGTATCAGGAAGTTCTATGCAAATTCTCTTCTTCAAAATGAACAGAGCATAACTTGCTGTATGCACAAGACTGCCAACAAGATTGTCTTTTCGAACAACTAATCCACACGTTCTCCTCTTTGGTATAAAGAAACGAATTACGAAAATTAACCAATATCTTCAAATTTTCTTATGTTCTTCGAAGCATATAAAGTGACTACTTACACGAAAAAAGTAATCCACGCATTCCCCGAACGATTTGTGCAGTAAGCCACACACGTAACCACAAAGAACTGTTAGGAGAGCTTGCTAATTTTAATAAAGGCTTTAAATCCTAAAAACTATGACAAATAATATAATATTATTTTCATTCCATTCCATATATCGATATGCAATTCAGTCCATGTTCGCCTTACATATTGCAAAAACAAAAATCAATATTCATAACCTCGCGCACTATACTTTACATAACCTCTTTGCTTCCATCCGTCCTCCGCCGATTCTCAAAACCGACTGACTTCCGTCCTCCGCCGATTCTTAACATCGACTCAAGTTCTTGTTAAACAAACGCCTTATTCACTTTCGTCTGTTTTTCACTTCCTTTGTAAAGAATTTTTCTTCTTTAAAAAAAAATACGTTTTTAATACGTGTTAATACGCTCGTATTGTACTGATCCTTGTTCGTAAATAATTTACGTATTTTCCTGTGGTTTACAAAATGTATTTAAAATGTCCATGTCCATCCTGATCACATGTCTATGTTAGCTCTGAGTTCTCACTGACCACTAAAATTTACCTTTGCCACTCAAAGTCGGAGTCCCCTGGACCGTTACAGATGGTATAATGGTCCGTCAAAAGAGCAGATCGTCTTTTAAGTGGGACGAACTTTTCCATTTTCCATTTAAAGGATTACAAAAAAATTGTTGAAGATCAAGTTTTGTTTAGAACAGAGTAAACACTTAATAACTGCAAAAATAGCTAAGAGATCAGTAAGAACGTGATCATGCCAGAATAAATTCATATACGTTGAATTGGTATAGCCAAAGGTATCAAAGAAATTTCTTGTTTTCTTGAAGTATTTTTAACGTATTGAGATGGAGCAGTAATGGCAAGAAGATGTCATGGTAGTAAATGGCAATTAACATTCACCACATTCGAAACGAAAGCAGTGATTTCTTACAATTAATTCCGTTCCCGTGCTCGTCAGGATTCAGGTATTTTCAATTTAATCTGGCAATAGTTTACACAAGCCGTTTTTCCATACGGAGCGGATAACGACCTGCGTGTAAATAAAACTTTTGAATCCACCCTCGAGGTGGAAATACTGTCACGAAAATCTTAAATTATGAGAATATTTAAAGAAGTCCCAGGAGTACCCTAGAGGCCGCCAAACGTTTACTTTCTTTTGAATCTCGGAATCGATTTCTGCCCGAGACGTTCTGGGGTTCGAGTTCCCACAATGGCAGGATTTTCGATACTCGCTAGATAGCCAGGTCGAATTCGTTGTCTGGAGGAGATTTCAAGCAACCGGCTGCTCTGATCGGTAGTTATAAGTTGTTTCTCCGATCAAAACCAGTCGAATGCTGGAGCAGTAACCTAGCAAACGGGCAACGGCCCGCGCGTAATTTTCCTTCCTCTCCCTTGTCCTATCCTTACCCCCACTTACATACATTACAATAGCACACATGTTGGGAGATCAATTATTTATTGATTTTATTTATTTATCGTCAAAAACAGATAAAAACTGTGCGTGACGTACTACGAGGAGTAGTGTATTCTGTGCACGATTTCTGAAATTCTCGAATCCCTACACTAAAGCATATGAAAGTTGAATACGTAATACAAACGAAATAAGCATTTTTACCATGAATTGTTAAGTAAAATTCGCTTCAGTGTAATTAAAACTATTTGCGAAGGCAAATCGTCGTAGAAGCGTCGTAGATTTTGGCTATTTTGCTTCTTCGTGCCCTATGATCTCCTGCCGTGAGAATATGGAGAACGATACTTTGAATAACTATCCACATAACTCTACAAGACGTGCACAGATAGTGAAGTTACATTTATGTCTAGAAGCAAAACAAGTGAAACAAAACATCAGTAAAGCAAAACATCTCAACATTCGCCCGCAGAATCAGGAAAACTGAATGCAAAATGGGATGGGAATAATTGATCCAGAAGCTGAAGCACAATAGTTGTTGCATTTTGTTGAGTCTTTTACAGTTCAAATTGTGGTTAATACATTCGAAATCACATCCTGGGTGGAATGATGTCCTGCTGGAGAGATACCTTGTTGGGGAAAACCAGCAAGCCGACGCATAGGTTGGTGCCGGATCTCGCCTCCCACAGGAAGAGTACCAGTACCTTACAATGTTTGTTTTACAATTTGCATTAATTTCAAGTAGATTTTGTGTGAAAACCACTGTTTTTTTCAAAGAGTTGTGCAGGATCTTTCTGAACGATCTGATATTTTAAAGCAGATTTTAAGGCAAAAATCTCTATCATTGAATTTGTAGTTGGTCTGTGTTCATTGGAAATGAGGCAACCGCCAGTTGAATCGTTCTGTGATATATACGAGAGAAAAATTAAAGAAAAAAGTGAAGCCATTTTGGCAAAAATTGTTTCCAAGAAGGTGCTCTCGTGGCTCAGAACGAAGACGCTTGCCTTCCATCAGTGGGGTTCCGGGTTCGATTCCCGTAGAAATTTGTTACAACAAATTGTTTGTTTGCCTGTTTCACAGGGGTGAGTACAACTCATGTGAAGAGTCCTAAGCCTTACCCCCATCCTTATACCTTCCCAATTCTGGCCGATGGGTAGATAAGGCAGGATGCGAGCGCAAACACGCTACCTGTCGGCGATTCCCTGACTTGACTGGGACTGACGTAATAATACCCAGCGGCCCCTAGAGGGCGCTGAATAACGGACAAAGTCCACAGCGTTCCTTAAGGAGCTAGCAGACGTGTTGCGTCTGTATAAACACAACAAATTAAAAACTAACCGTATATTTCACGCGAAATCTATGACATTACTTCAATATCTCACTTTTAACAACTGATTTTGTTAAGGGCGAAATCCCAATTTTCATTAATGCAGTAGGAAGACGCCGGAAACAATTTTAACTTTCGCAACTTTGGCTAAATCAGGGATTGTAACTAAATGACACCTACGCATTTCATTTCAACGACTTTTACTCTACTCTGTGATAAAGTTTAATAAAAACTTAGGAGCCATTTTTGAGAAAACTTGAAAATGTTGGGATTTTATGTAAAGTACCCCCAAAATTCAAAATATTTATTTCAAAATCGCAGGTAAAAAATGCTGGACACCTTTAGCGTTAACGTGGCCATAGACGGACCGACAGGTTTTGGCGTCAGGCGATTTTTTCGTATCAAGAACCCACAAAACATGAGTTCTGTCTACACAACGTATTAAATTAAGTAAAGTCATTTACTTAGGAACAAAATGTATCCCCTCGTCAGTGACCAGTGTCCGTCTGTAAGAGTTTTTCAGTCGGAAAATCGCAATTCTCCGTCGCATGAGTTCAATATTTTCTCAACTTGCGAAGTGAAGGCGAGAAAGTAAAAAAAATGTATATTGTGTGTTCCCAATAGTCACATTTGTCGTGGCACACATATTGTATAATTCTACCCTTCCGCAATAACCAAATGGGCTAAATACAGCGACAACCTCACAATCATACAAAACTGCAAAGGATAATCGTAAATGATAATCGTATCATGTTTTTTTGTTGCTAAAATTACACTTCTTAGGTCGGAGACACACAAGCGTTGCTTTAACGCGCGGTGATGACGCCAGCTAGGTCGACGCGTACCTATTACGCACGCGAGAGTTGTTAAGCGTGCGTCTCGGGTGCTAGACTGGGCTCTCTCTGGGGAGAAATCTCTTATTAGGAGACACTATTTTAAAGCCAGGCCGTGATAATTACATGGTAACATTCGGTCATGAACCCTTCGTTACCCCCATAATCCCGGAGATGACCCTTTCTGAAGCAATGCATAGGAGAAGGCGAGTTTTGAAACGAAGACCAAATAAACTGAAGGATGTTGCCGGATTCAGCGCATCGACATACGTAGAAAGACATGCGTCAATTCGCCTGCGGACCTTTTGTGAGAAGGTGTTGTTTTGCCTCCAAGTGCATCTAGATCGATGCTACTTTAGCGTCGCGCACAAACAAGTGACCAAGTGTCCCCCGCGTGACAGGCCGCTTGGGTATGGGGTGGGACGTCAGGACGTGACTGACGGAGAGGTCCAGAGAGAATGGGGGAGGACGCGGCCAGCCAAGCTGGGCGGCGGCGTCCCTCCAAGAGCTCTTGTTCTTGAGAAGCCGAGCTGTCCGGATCAGAGGCAGCGCGCCGGTTGGGGCCGAAAAGCGGGCGCGTGGGCTGGCAGCGAACGTTCTCGTGAAGTAGACTCCTGTGACAAGTCGTGTAGGATTTCTGCGGTGCTTCACCCGACCGGATTTATTCGACATTTAAGTAGAGGGTGTAGAATGTAGTGTAGTAGTAGCCGTAGAATGAAAATTGCTCCTAGTAGTAGGGACGATTTATTTCGTTTATGAACAATTGTAATTAAAGTTTATTTCGGTAGTGGATTAGTAAATAAACTAGCAATAAGTTCAACCTACTCTCGTCTATGTATTATTGCATCCTGCATGACGCCACAATATATACGTAGCTCTGAAATTATTCCAAGGAGGGTTTATAAATTTCGGGGCTCGTTTGTTAACAAATGGCTTCCCTACATTATTATCGTTTTTGTGACTGGTGATACAGGTACCGTAAGATCACCTCATGTTATTAAAATTTCCAAAGCTGTATAAGTTTCTCGTTATTATATTTAAGCGGTAATCAAGTATTGGTTTAGTAGAAAAAGAGGTCGTGAAGGGCTACTCAAAATAATATTCTCAAACTTTTCCATTTGCAGAGGTCAAGGGCTCGATGAAGAAATCTCTTTCAAAAAATGTGAATCAATAGTTTGAATATGAAATAGAAGTCTTTGTTGTGGCAACGACTCCTGCAAAACGTTATACGTTTGCTTCACTGAAAAGCTGCAAAAATGAGGTAAGAAGCGTTCAAACACGTATATAGAATTCCTTTGTTTAAACTTTTCTTTTTTATGCATTTGTAACGCTATCTCTTGCGAAAAAAAAGTCAAAAGAGTGTGTTGTAAGGGGTTTAGGCGACGAGTATTAAAGCTAGCGGCTCAAACGTGATTGGAACGTTGGAGATTCTATCCCGCCAGAAGATTCGTCTGAGCTTAACATGGGCCTCTGGGGTCCCTGCGAGGTTCGAAGTCGAAGGTCGCTCATTGGTTTCCACGATCCCTTCCAGGCGAATGCCTGCGATGATCTCTAGAACACGGCCCGTGCACATTTCTTCCTTTCCCTAACTTGTTTCCATCCTTGGGGGAGGGGGGATCGATGGGTCGATTACCTATTCTCGCATGTTCAACCCTACGTACCTCGAAAATATCTGACGAGAGTCAGACGTTACATAACGTATTGTTACACTTATGTTTTTGCACTAACACACATGTCAGGAGACCACTCTACTTTAGAGCTTTTAGAGCTGTGGCGGTGCTGCAATGGTGGAGATACCCAATGGAGGAAAACACATTGCAAGTCAAAGAGTAGGACAGCCTTCATCTCAAATTCTAGCGTGGGATTAACACTGCCACTCTCGTGATATAACAAGCACTTCACTTACGGGAGTAACTACTATAGAACATGACGCACCCTGAAACAACATAATGAATCGAAAGGTCTTTGTGATAAATGTTTATGGCAATCTTCTCTCACACAATAACTTCGTAGGTTATGTCTCTTGTGGCTGAGCATGTTGATGGCATTAACGCAGTGGATTGTGGTGGATATAAAA